TTAAAAAATTCATAATTGAATCTGTTATCAACGATTTTATCGACTGAAACCAACAGGAGGTATAATACCGGCTGAAAATTTTTCTAGAAGGGATCCCATGCGAATATTAAACTATCAGTTCATGGTAAAGTAAAAAACTACTATTCCGAAATATAATAATCGTTAATTTATAACCGCACAAAACAGATAATTTACAAATGTAACTATTTATTAAATTTTTGAAGTGCAAATAAAATTGTACAAAATTACAGATTCCATATCAATGCTTTTATAATATGTAATAACTAGAAGCAATTAATCGTTGATGCGACATAATACTCAACAGATGGCACGAAGTTTACGAATTTCGTATAGGCGCATATATGCGTATACACACGTTATGCGTGTATGTGTGTGTGTACAATTGCATTACATTATTTTCCATTAGCAAGAAAAATTAAAAACAGTGCGGAAGAGTTACCGTTTACAATCAGCAAGCATGAAACCGCGTATCATTTTCAATTATTATCAATTGCACTGTGTAATAAACCATACAGAAATTTTCTCACCGAATAAACGCTGCTATTTCATTTATTTCAGCGGCCTGTCAGAGTTACGGTGCACTCTAGTAATTGCTTCGAATATACCATTATATAAGGGCGAAAAAAGAGGATCGGACAAGTGGGATGAGGCTGAACAACGCGCATTTCAATTTGTTGCACAATTTTCTAGAGACGGATGGGTGGGACAACTCGCTCCTGTTTTCCGAGCTAGATTACAGTCACATAGGATTTAATCGCGTATTCGCGCACGGGTACGGCTGTTAATGCTACAAATTACGCTTTATCGAATTTCGACAGCTACGAATTTGGCGAGAAAGAACTGAACTCTCTCACGCACTGAATTAAACAACGAGTTACAAACAAGTTTAATTATATCACATTGGGCAGCTTCGAAATTAGCTCTCGCGTAGCGCAGGAAGCACAGAAATAGGTCAGAAATAATTCTATTTATTTATAATTTTCCTGCTATTGTTAGTGCGCAAAAATTTTTTCCTGGTAAAAGCTTCTGTTGGCGAGAATAGATTGTCCGTATCCGTTCTCATCTAGCACAGAAATAGGTCAGAAATAATTCTTAATATTGCAGAATTAACTGTCTTAGATATCTGAGATCTGATATCAAATTCCACGTATCAAACGTTGCTTCGTCTGCGCAAAGCAAGTATTTTCCTTTCTCTCTAGCTGTGGCATTTTTATGCTATCTTGTTCGAATCTGCGGGCACGATGGTATCCGCGACTTGCGTGAGAAATCGAACGGACGTATTCTCGCTCGATTTCCCATTATTACTTTACATGCGGTAAGACGGGAGAAGGTAGGATGGTCGGTAAAGAAAGCCTGTCGAAAGCCGAAAGCATTTTCCCGACGTCTTACGCCTCGAAAAGTTCTCCATCTGTATTTGTCCCACTATAAATCGCCGACAGTTGCCGCAGCTGTATCTCGCTCACGTTTTACTTTGAGTAATGCCTCACCGACGTATTCCAGTCGCATGAGAGACGAAGAAACGGAGCAGGAATCAATTGTGATCATAAACCTGTACATGTAAGCAGACGTTTGCTTCGCAACTCGCTAAAATAAAGCGTTCATCACGTACATAATAAAAATCGCACGTAGAAGAGCAATTTTTGCGATGTCGTGTTCGTGTCGTCATCTCTATATATGATTCAGTTAATTTCGTCTAATATGAAGCATGGATTCAATATATAATTATGAGATGAAGCTCGGGCAGCCATATATTTACCACGATAAGGGTTCAAGTTAATATTAATGATTTTCAGGCACGAGAACAACCCGCGTTATTTATTATTGTCGGGCTTTTGATAACAATCAAATCGGATATTGCTGTTGGAAAGAGAGCCACAGGTCACTAACTCAGATTCATAACCAAAAAGTTTTGAAATTTTGTATTTAAAATAAAGTTTTTATAGTGCGTAGATTACAGATATGTGCTAAAGTGGTCTTGACTGCACTCTTTAATTTTTTAGATATATATGTCATAAAAAACATACAAATGATCAATAATGCTTTTTCTGAAATTCGATTAATTGACTTGTAATAGTTGGAGAACTTGAAAGAGCCCAACAAGGATTCAGAGAGAGAGAGAATAAAAAGCTATTTGTTAAAAATTCAAATGGATTGTGCGATGTCGCTTAAATGCGAAAATTGAAATGCCGTGAGTAGCGCGCGAGTCTTATCACGAAAGTCGCTGACGTGGTCCTTCATTCGCGATAGGGTCGAACTGTCGGGCGTCTTCCAGCAGCGGGAAGGTGTATTCCCATTTGAGCTGCTTGGGGGAGTGAGTCCATGCTCTGGCTTGCGTCTATCTGTTGAGATTTCCTGGACTACGTGATCAGAGTACGGATACTACTGTCCGTGAGGAACGTCGGAACATATTCTGACGTTGAGTCTTACGATTCGGACGAGTGTCCTGCAAACTTGTGTCACAGCGAGGATCATCTCGATGCCGTGAGACCGATTGAAGTGATTTCTTTCAGTCAGAAGTGATGTCATTCGCCGAAAATGGTATATTTTTTCAAAAAAAGATCGCGCTATGCTCCAATAGCTAAGATGATCAACAGATGAGGGTATAATATAGTCGTATCGAGTGTAAAACACTTATGTGCATTCAAGCAAACGCGCGCGTTTGCCCTCGTAACATACAGTGCAATTTTCTCTCCATATTTCCTTCTCATTTTACAAGGAACATTTCCGTCAACTTTGTAATCGTTAAAGTAGTCATGTATAATTTAATTATAGCTGCAGCAGATTCCAGCTCGCTGCGGGATTAGACGCGGTCTGTAATTAATTCGGGCAACCGTAAACTGCCTGCACGCCTGTGAACAACTTGTGACATAGTGACATCAGGTTTTCGCAAATCTAGAAAAAGTCTTTCCTCTTTATCGTCTTTCCTCTCTTTACAATACCGATATGATTTCGTATGATTGTGTCTATTTGTGTGCTCTTTACGACGCACATCAACGCAAATCTATTCAACGAGTGAAATTTCCTCTGATCACCGCGCGTTGAAGTAATTTTCGCGCGTTTGCGTAGTTATATATATCACTGTGATTATTCTTCCCAATGAAGCCCAACCGTTCGTAGTCGCAAACGAAAGGCGAAAAAACCAATACCGTGTGCCGCTGGCAGTAAATTCGCTAAATATTTATCGCGGCCGTGCACAATACGCGCATGACTACGCACGTATTTCGATCAAAAATTCATGAAGTACGGCGCCGTATGTTTGCCTTTACAATTCGAACATGGGAACATCCAACATAGTGTTTAACGTTTTTGATTCAAGAGAAGATTCAACCGGGTAGCGCAGCCACGATAGATGGATCTTTCATAAAACAACTTTGGATCAACTTCGAGACGCGAGGGAACTTTACCGAGGTAGTTTTTCGCGTGCGGATCGCGTCCCGTAGACGTCCTTGCCTCTCCTTCTACACGTTCCGCGCGAACTGCGATTATTCTCGCGATCTCCTCCGGGCGACTGTAACGAAGGGTTATTCCGATAAACCAGCGAAAGGACGACCTCGCTGTGAATTCCAGGCTAAGCTAAGGCGCAGAGCGACACGAGTAGGGCAGGGTTACGGATACGAGGTTACGGCATTACTATCCTGATAATGGAGTGGCGGTCAATGGGGCGATAGATCGCGCCGTGGAGACGGTGCCGTAACATGCGGGAGCCGAGCAAGCTCCCGAGGGAACCGCTCACCCCCTTCGCCTGCCAGTTTCAGGCCACATATAGCGATCGTCGTCGTTTCATCTCCCTGTCTTTCTCACGGCTGTATTCGAACTCCCTTTTACACCTCCTTTCTCTATCTTTCCTTCCCCCCTCCCTCTCTTTCTCTCTATTTCTCCCTTTTTCGCCCGTCGATTCCTATCGGCTGGAGGGGCAGGAAATGTTTCCGCGCCGAATGCGCGTTCTCGACGTAACGTAGGGTCGCTACCGTTCCAACGAAAGCTTCTACTGGGAAACTGCAGTACGCCTGGACGAAAGTGTTTTCCAAAGTCGATGATACTCGTCACGTTTTTCCGTAGATAGGTACGAACGCGCGCCACGTCGAGAAAACTCGGGATCGTTGGGTAGCGAGCGTCTGTAAGAAGGTTCAACGTCGTATCGCTCTAAGATTTTATTGGTCGCGCTGCGCGTTTCATTATTTATTTCATCGTGAGATGAAACTTCGTACCGATTGAAATGTATTCTATATACATGGTATCTATGCGCGCTACGCGTGCGTTCTACACACACACACATATATATATATATATATATATATATATATATATATATATATATATAGAGAGAGAGAGAGAGAGAGAGAGAGAGAGAAAGTAACGTGATTGCATTCAAACTGCAATCGCATTCGTTCGTAGAGCCACAACAAATTTTGCCCTGTACACATCAAGTCATCACACTATTTGACTGTTGTGTCAACCTACCACAACTATTCGGCACTATTCGTAACGTTCAATATCGACAGATTTAATATTACTCGCGTTTGTGATTATCTTGATGATTAGAAATTTAGACTCTGAACTTGTTCCATCTGGCGCTGCTCTGTTGTTGCAAAAATGCAATTGGTATGCTCACAAGTCGCATTCAATTTTTGCAATCATGTAGAGAATGTAATCTTATTAAACGATGTAATTGTATGATTATATAGAGGAAAAGTTTCATTGACGGTCAACATCATTTTATGACGTATCACGACATGTCGTAAAAATCTGCGTCATTTGTGCGCTCTTATGAATAAATTGATACAGGTAGAATGCGTGTCATATACGTACACACAATTTGTTCTTATTGCGCGAGAGTGTATGCGAAAGTCAAATCGGTTAAACAAGCATATCCGCTTGTTACTGAGTAAGACGTCTAACAAAGAGCAGCAGATGTCTATGTGACATAAACATGCATCTGTCACGTCGTAAAACGTGGACTAATACTACAGTGAGAGAATCGTAAGCTTGAAAGGGATAGACTCGAGAAGCTGTCAAGTGTTGGTCCAGTCAAGCTTTGACCACTCGTGGAACATCAATCCTCATACTGAAATAATATTGCCTCAAAGTTCTATCTAAACACGACGGGTTTCGTAAGATTTGCTGGACGACGGTGCGACAGTGCCATTTAATTAGACGTGAAAATCCGTAAGTCAATATTATTAATCTAACCGAGACCAATGCATTAACAATTTATCTAAATATCTGCTTTCTGTAAAAAGATATTATATTTTCAGAATTATACACAATATGAGACTGAGTCTATATATCGTCGTATTCTTATTGATCATTATGGCAACCACAGCGTTTATAGTTCCGATAAAATTACGATGGAAGCAAAAGAAAGCAAAAGTAGGTGCACAGCTTCGTAGGCCGAAAATTGTTCATTTACCACAGTTACCAATACAATGAAGAATCTATTGTTTTAAAAGGAGTTTGTGCAGAATATTTTCTTATACTATATACATATACATGCTATATACATATAGCATAAATATGGAACAATAAACAGTATGTACCGTATATCTCTACATTTTATGTATTATATTTATTCCTGATAAAGTAAGATGAGCTATTAAAGTTTGGAATTATGTTCGTTATTATATTCGTACATATCTTAATCATCTTTGATTATTTATGAAAATATGCGTGATAATATAAATGTTATGCCTCAAAGTTTGCCAACTCAACGAGATCGTGTTCAGTAGCACGAGTTTCGTATTTGCTCGTAAATTCAAACGCTTGGAACCTGTCACGAAAATACGCTCGAAGATAAAGTGACTCACTCGTTTGCAAAACTAGGTGAATTCTTCTTCGTCAAAGCAATGTTTTATGACGCGGTATGAATATTTACTATCGGAGATATTTGTGATGATTTCTAAATTTGGACACTGATGCGCGAATGGACATCGGTTTAACGTTACATACTTGATATATAATATCTCAGAATTTCCTTTTTCGTAAATGTTCGCTAAGAGAAAAAGAATTGACCACTGATTTAGTATGAGTCATCTCGTAACGTCAACGATGTCGTGTTTTACCATAACGATAGAAGCAGCCCGTTCCACTTTGAAGTGAACTGCGAAACGACATTGGTTACGATCGAAATAAATGGTCTCTGCGATAGAAGATGGAAGAGAAACGTTAACGTGATGGAGGTAGAATTCGTCGTAGTTTTATTCTGATGTTGGGCTCACGTTCAATCGTGCAGGTGGAAAGGGGGTGCAGGGACGTGGATGGTTATGGGAGTGGCGGTAAGGCGCTGCAGACTCTCAGAATCGGTTCGGTCTCAACCGATTGCTAAAAGAATCAAATAAAGCGCAAAGTTTTCTTGTGAATTTTTGCACTGATGCCGCGCATGTGCTCGCTTAGAGCTCATTAATTTTCGTGCAGCGAGAATCGTACTTTTTGACATTCTATTTTCGGATTTATGCGAGTTCAGATATATTTACCGACTATATTTTTAGCTGCCGGTTGTCATTTAACATTATTCGATTTTCCACGAAAGAGTATAAGTGACAGATTTTTCAGAGTAAAGAAAAAGTGAAAGAAATGCAAATATATATCTAACGGGGATTCTCACAACTTTTCTGTTATCGCGTATATATGTGTGTATATGTTCGTCGCGTTTATATGAAGCTAAAAATGAGATAATTATATAGAGCTAAAAATGAGATAAGAAACAGTACTTCCCATTAACGTAATGTATTGAATTCCGCATACACATGATTATATGTACACGCTTGATAAGACGCAGCACGTGCATATATAAACGACATAATCGGAGAAGATAACATCATTCCTCTTCAGCATATCAGCGCGAGAACGTAAGTTGAACGTATACTGACTCATATATTTACTTTAAATATCAAATGTATCGCACGATAGATATAAACTCCTCTTTAGTTTATCGTAAAATAATAATTTTTTTATTACATTATTATTTTAGATGTCACTTGTCATATAATTTGACATATATTTTTTTGTTCTCAGGAACGTGGAAGACAATATGAAGTTTCACTTGTTCATCTTCACTCTGCTCTTGGCAGTGATGGTCGCCCTTGCGTACAGGGCTCCACCTCAGCAACCGCCTCCAGGAGGCTGGAAAGGAATCCCAAATTTTCCCGGTCAAGGACCTTTCAATCCAAAGTTTGGGAAATGATGCGACTAAACAATGACCACATAGCTGATATCTTTCAAAGTCGATTGCGCACGACTAAAATAATTTATTGACACCAATGATTCGTGTGTTCTTTCATTATACGATATACGCCCATGTAACATATGTTTTGCTTGAAAAACATCTTTTTACGAGATAAATAAAGCTTAAGATAAATAAAATTCCAATTTATTGCTTTACCGATTGCTATCATTATATATAACCCTTCTTTGATTATCGCATAAACGTATACCAACTGAAAAATATAAAATCCAACGATATGCATTTCTGCGGTTTGTACTACATGAGAAATATGGCCATGCGAGGTATTTTAGTGTTCTCTTCAGTCTGCTATCTGCGAATAGCCTGTGCAATTTCGTTACTTTCGACTTTCCTCTCTGTTCCGGCGGTCGCCCCTGTTGTCGCGATCCTATAAACGAGTGACTCCTCGTTGTCTGCAGATCTGATAAAGCTAATTACGCTAATACATTAGGCGAGTGGAAGCCCCGAAATAACGAGTGCGCCTCGCTCCCAGCTCCATGTGCGCCTCGCTGCATTTACCTCTGGCAATGCCTATCGCGTAGGTAGACGAGGGTGTCCTAATTACCTACCGCCCGGCGAGACGCCTTCTTGCCCGCATGTAAACACCTTCATTACCACTGAACTGCTCCATAAAATATTTCGCCGGGATAGCTGTTCGGTATAGGTAATAACCTCAATCCACGAGACTCTATAAAATGTCGTTCCTCATGGACACTAACTTAATGGCGATAAGGTAATTACTGACCATTATATTTGCGACATTAACTTCTTACGTCATTGCTGCGATACCCTGATGAACTATGACGACTCTGACGGAAATGTGGAATGCAATCTTCACGCGTATACATACAAGCGTGTTACATTAAGTAAGAATTTAATACAATACGCGCTTATCTCGTTTTATCTAGCGCGAGCAATTTCTAAAGGTCCTTTTGTAATAAAAGAAACATAAACGTTGCTTGCAGCGCAACTTTCGTTACGACACGCTGTAATTGAGTTTATATCGTATGAGTATATCTTTTTGCGCCGCAAAGCTACAAAGAGAATGTATCATTGGATCGTGAAATGGGAAAGAAAGTTATGTGTGCCGCGTGAGTGTAAAAGTATTACATTCGTATTTTAAACATATCATCGCCCCGTGTGCGCTTTCTCTTTCTGTCTTTTAATCGAGCGATGAATTGTTATAGTAAATATCTTGTAATTGAATATAACGCATAATATTTGAAATGATAGCACGGCGACATCGTTTTGTTTTCTGTTTTTCTTATAGTTTATGTTTTTAATTATTATTGCAACACGTTCAGATAGCTATCGATATTTCCATATCTACACCTATACTATCTTTATAACGGCGAATGGAACTAATAATTTATGGTTAGTCTCTGCTCTCAATATGCGCTAAGAGCAATGAGACACTGTAAAATCTCCAATATGTCCATGAGCACCAAAGTCTCAGGTTCAGGGAATGCCGTGGTTTTCTCGTCAGGCACTATCCAGCTCTTCCGTATCAACGAGTAAACGACCCCAAACCAGCCATCTTGTATTTCATGTCCCCGTAAAAGTTTTTGGTTCGTGCCAATCATAGTCACGTCGATATCTTCGGTTACGAGAAAACCTCTCCAATGTTAAAAGATATGCTCGAACATATTTTGTAATAAATACTTTTGTGTACTTTTAACGCAATGCTTTTTCTCCCCACATCATAATGTGTTTTTTAACTTGTTTACACAATTATTTGTATCATCGCACACTCTACTGTATATTCTTTGTTTTAGTAACATTGTCATTTCTATTTTTCGCCTAACTGATTTCATTGAAATTTTTTTTGTAATTTCATTCTCTTCCTACAGCAATTTGTTATAAATTCATATTTAATATACAAAAAGAAATATCCATTTTTCTTTCCTCAGTAAATTTAATTTATCTGCGCAAACGATATATTTCATAAAAACATTTTTTTTTCATCTGTTAATAATACGTATAATTTTACACAAAGTTTACGCAGTTACTGCATGGTTTCGTGCGTAACAATAATGTATTTACAGAGATACAAAATAAAAGAATTCGAACAGTAATGTTACATAATACAATATATGCGATAATATTGATATCCGTGTGCTATTTTGTAAAAGAAAAAAACGTTCCTCAAAAAAGATATGAATTCTATCGGTAATGGAAAGATCGTGTGCGACGTGGTAAAAGAAATCCAATTCGGAGATTCCAATTCAGAAAGTCCCCGAGCGTATATACGTTTGGGAAATACATGAATTTTAACTAACACGCGACGCGAATGAAATCATATCTCATGATTCAACGAAAGAATCAGCGAGTTCATCGCTATCACTGGCTGTCGTTACAGTCACGATAAAGTCAAACCTTAGGGGAAACCCGCAGATTGCGTTATTTACGTAGCTTATGCTCATAATATGAAGTTTTTTATTTGCATGTTGCTATAGATATATCTTTAATCACACATTATGCATGATATATAAGTAGCGTGTAAAATGCGTAGACAAGACAGTTCGACTTTAGCTGTTGTCCGAATAAGGTATAGTACATTAATCGTTAGTTTCTAACTCCTGAACAATTTCTTACCGATTATTTTACGATATTAAATCTTGCATTTTGAGTATAAAACATATATCTGTATAATATCCGGTATTTTACGCAGAAATATTTTTCTCGTCAAACAGTTGTCAGTCAAGTCGTACATACTTTAACGCTGTCTGCTGATGTTTCGAAATTCTGTATCGCTAAACAGTTACGTCGGAAATTAGTTGCCTTCGCTTGCACGCGCATCAAACTTGTCGAAAAGTCAATAGTGCCGGATTACCATCTTGCCTTTGCATAACGTTATCTTTCGTTTCTTCGTCAGAACAATATATTCATCATGAAGTTTGGAGTGTGCATTGCGATGCTGTTGGTTGCAATTTGCGCTTTGCTTGTCGATGTACAAGCACTTCCGAATTTCTACCCTACTTGGCCTGGTAGACCTGACAGACCTGGATTACCTGGACCATATAATCCTGGACCATATAATCCTGGGCCGTATATACCTGGGCCGCATATACCTGGGCCGCATATGCCTGGACCATATAATCCTGGGCCGTATATTGGCTGACCCTTTTATGAGACCGAGTAAGTACACTAATCGATTCTATATCGTCTATATCTAAAATGGAAAACCTTCGACTTTTCTTTCGCAATTAAATTACTTACTTCGCTGGTTTTTCGACAAAATTATTTTTATAATTGTTACAGACTTTTGAATTTCCTTGAGTGATTGCTGTCTGTCGTCCACGCGCAAAATCACAACAAAAAATGTGTAAAATTCACTTCTGTTACGTGGAATATAATTTATTTAATGTTATTCAACGCCCCTTTCGAATGACTGTACATATATTTACATCTATGTATTAATAATCCTATATTTGTTATACTTATTAAATAATTCGATCTACTATATTTCTTGTCCTTTTTTTCTTCGAATACACGAACATCTGCAATTTGTTTTTAATTCTTGTAATACCGTTAGATCCTCTCACGTAGGCGATCACGTAAAACAATCAGAGAAAAGCAAAGACATCCTGAAGGAAACTCAATCTCAAGAAAACATTTTCTGCCGCGTGAAAAACGATATTTCAATTAAATCCTTAATCAAATAGGAAGGGTATAGCAGTTTGCATCTTGGGTGACCATAAATCGCGTTAATGGAAAATGACTTTTCTTATTAGCAAGTTATTTGCACTGGCATAGAGCGCTGAAAACGAGAATATTGCATCTAAGCTTCTATCTAGTAAGAATTTGCGAGCAATACGTGTTTCCCGCGAAATAGGCATTTTCTCAACAATTTATCGTTCAATATTTTTGTTTATGTATCTCTTTCTCTGCAAACTAATTAAAACTGTTGATTATAATTAATATCTATTGTTTAAATCCCTTGCTTCCGGGTGTCATAGTCCGGTTTCATAATTGACAATTATTTAGTTTCGAAACGAGCAAGTTAGTCTAATCCGGGAGCGATTCTGCAAGATGTATCCAACCATCTGTGGCGTGTTATATGCGACAGCATAATGTAAATGGTGAGTTTGGTGAGATCCTTCCTTGTAATGAACACAGTGACGTTAGACGCGGTTGTGTAGCAGAGTACTTTCCCTCCGCTCTTCTGCATTTTACGGAGTTCCTACGTTAATGCGATAAGAGAGCAGTCTCAGTCGGGCCAGGCCATAACTTAAATTGCTCGCTTCTTCGTCGTGGCTAATGCGAAGCGATACTTAAAGCGGAACAATCGCGACGCGCCAGGCAGCTTTATTCCGCGCCCATTTTGATTCGACAAAGCAAGTTCGTTATCTGGCTGCTGAACGCAAGATTTTAACGAGACGAGAATTAGAATAATAATTTATAATCACGTAATCACGTGTATATGTGTTTATATACGTTTGTGGAACAGGCAAGTCGCGTAGGTTTCACAACGAGATTTTAAAATCCTACACACTAATTTGTTAAGTAATATATAATAAACGAATAAACGTTGTTTAAGTAATGACTCTCGAATAAATGCTACTTTAAGTCATTCAAATAACTGAGCGCATTTTTACGAAATATCGCTTTCTCTGCAATAGCGGGAATTATGACGGTAGTTTCGTGAAATTCGCCTAATTTTAAAGCACGTCGTCAGTGACGATCCAATTTTTATTTTTCAAGATTCGAATATTCTAGAAAAGTAGTCGGGATGCCTCAAGTGGTAGCAGAGTAAAGCTACTTTGGATAAGTGGGGCAATTAGCGAAATACTTTACATTTCGACATAACTTTCCGGACGTTGGCGACGAGAGACTGCGCCGAGGGTAGCGCGACGGCGAGTCGAGTGTCGTTATTCCATTTCGCATTCTGGAGTCTGATCCTCGCGAGCTGTGAAAGGATCTCCCGCATCCTTTCACCGCGTCAAAACGACATTTTGTATTGTAAACGTGATTTATACTACGCGAAAGACGTAGCGAATGTATATAGAATTTAATTTGTATTTTAAGTAAAATCTTTCGAGCCTTTCGACTACCCGACGTCTACTAGCGAATGCTAAAAAACAAAATAAAATTTTCGTAAAACTGCCACGGGTATCGCTTGGCCGCTGCGAGCGCGTGCCAAGAGTGAGGGCGGTGCCAAGCCCGATGTACTCGAAATGCGGAGCATCCTCGAGTATCGTTATGCTGTTTTTGCTCTCTTGAATCTACAAGATGCAATTAGAGGTCTCGCTCGAGAAGAGCAGCGTAACAGATGGGTGAGCTTGACTTTCTCCCGTCATCGCGCTGTCTTTTTTCGATTTTCTACTCTGTCTACTGTGTCACTTTGTACTATTCATGTCAGTTTTACTTGTATATTGTAACATTAAGTTTTAGGATAGAATCGTTCGCAACATGATTTTTATCATATCTCGACAAATCATTACTGCTGTATCCGTCAAGCGCATTCGATGCACTTGTTACCGATAAGAATCAGTACTTCTCGCGAGCGAGCGCCCGGCATCCGTTGGATATTATCGAGTATTGATCGCGCGAAAATATAAGTCGCACGCACGGTTCCAAATAGATATTAATTATCACGCCAACGAGGGTATCTAATATCGTTCATAATACGCAAACTGCAACAGACAGAGAGCGTATTGAATGACGGATAGTAAAGCGAACGGGTGTGTACGTGACTCGGTTTCTCGTGGAATAAATGAGCTCCGTTGTACGAACTAAACCAACGCACCGATCTCCGCAATCGTCGGAATATGTTCTCTGTATCTACTGCGCCGGCATTACAACCCAATTTCCTGAATTCCTATTATGACGTGCCCAGTTTTGTCGGTTATTCCGCAGGCGGTGCGCACGAGAAATGCAGAATTCACGGCACAAAATCCTGGCTAGCAACGATCCGTTATCAGGCCGAATGAGCTTCGAAGCGCGACTAAAAATACATCCGTCCGCCCTTAAATCGGAAAGCTTACGCTTCCTAATGCATTCAGGAAGTTCGGCTCGAGTTACTTCGCCCGATCTATCCTCCGTGGCTCATTTCAACGTCGTTTCTATGTTATCGCATCTCGACCATCGTCTCGGCGTACGCGCATTTACGAAAATGATGATTAGTTGGAGTACCGTTCCACGGGGCAGCTTATTTCAATTTCGCAATAACGATTTCGCGCAAGTTTTTGTTTCGTCGTACTTTGCCAATTCACACGCTGACAGCGGAGATTATAATAATATTTACCGCCGGGCGATTCGCAAATATTTCCGTCAAGTTCCTTAACAACACACTTTAATCCTCCATATGACGTTCCACTGACGCGAATTACGTTTTTACTAGAGACTAATGAACGCACTTTTGTCCAGGTTACTTTAATAAGTTCTCAGAAAGGGATTCATCATAGCTGGGATTAGAGTAGTGGATGAAAAGAAGAGCGGGATAAGAAAAAGCAAAGCGCACGATAAATCTGCGATTCTTGATGGTCGCTCACGGAGAAGAAAAACGATTCTGCATTTTCTCATCATTTTCAGATGTTACAACGATCGTTGTACAATAATGGCGTGGAATTTTTAATTATGACATCGTTCATAACGTAACTTTCTTCGACTTTTGGCAGAAGACGTTGACGTAAAAGGGACGCTAATTGCATTTGCGCGGAATAAACTACAGTCAACTATAATGCGTGATAGCCGCCTGTTAAGGCACTGATAACGCGGCAATTAAATTTGTCGCCGAGATTTTTATTTGACGGCGTGCGTAAACAATCGATCGTGGCACAAAGGAAACGATTAACCGTCGCACTTCTTTCTCACTTTGCCAAACAATGAAACTCCGGCGAGCACGAACCGGCGCGTATTATATTCACACGGTATTTTTGAATGCGAAAGAAATAACGGGTGACGGATGGAGAACCGGTTAAGCCGTAAACGAAATTCTTTTGCCGGATTTCCAGTTTTTGATCGCCCCTTTGTTTATCGTTCTCTGAATACTGGTTTGGATTTGGGAAGATGGATTACTCCGCGCCAACGTTTCTCATATCCGAGTATATGTCAATTCTGTCACCTTTGTCGCCCAACTATTACCTATAAAACTGAATTTTTATTTTTTCTACATTCTTTCAAAAGGCTAATGAACTATCGATCTCTCTCTCTCTCTCTCTCTCGCTTCCTCTCTGTCAATCGGCAAACGCCAATGTCGATGCTGTGCATACAAAGATCGTTACCGGCAGTGCACTCATGATTCATATATAGGATAAATCGTAAAGCGGAGCCATTCGATAGGTTAACCGGAGAACGTAGATGAGAACATCCCGAAGTTTTCGCGTTTGAAACTCTAGTGGACTCGACATTGAAAGGAAATGTCGCGCTCGTTGTATTTCGCAGCTGTCAACTGTTTTTTCGCGTTGAAAAGTGCGTTACAATTATCGAACTTGTCGAACGTGAGTCTTCATGATTTACGTAAACACCATTAACGAATCTTGCGGAATTGTATTACGGAACAGAACACGGTGCAAACTTACGCCGATTTACCGTTTCTGCGGTTTAACGCAGAAATTATACATACCTTCTCATTTACTGGTATTTCACATGTACAGACATACATCACGTACCAGATGAAAATAACATAATTAGAACGCTCCCCATTCGCTGGTATTTCGCGCGTACTAGCCAAAATATTCAAGGCCATAAATCCCCACTGTAACTCGGCGGCCCATTCAATTTTACACTACTCATATTTTCCTCCGGCCGCGTGTGTGACACTTTATCTTTTACATTTATCTACAGATATATTACAGCACGTCTACTGTTGTTAACTGCCATTCTCACGCGCCATACACATATTGCTCCTTCGGACAAATAAATCTTAATACGCGTCTCTACAGCCGGTTATCTTCGGCGTACGGATAATAGCTCTATTTCTCGGGCTGCCATACGTCATTCACAGATTTACTTGCCAGGATTAATGTTCGTTTATCGAATATGCATACGCGCGCCGGCCACGGTAAATCGCGCGTGCATGTATATACGAGAAATCCACGCCGCGTATAATTGTATCGGCATTGCTCAGCATTGCTATATTCCATTTTGCTCAGTGGCGCAGATCAATATTAACGATGATATCGGGTTTGGAAGCTGGAGCTGCTGGGTTGTACGGCAAACAAAATGAAATAAACAAAACTGCGGCCGGGGCCGTGCCGCCGCCGCTGCGCAACGTTTGCGGTGTGCTCGAATGTGTCATGTAATTTTATGTGTTTGCGAGCGGCAATTCGCGTAAACATTCTCGGAGCTCTCAGCGCCGTATATTTCGCATTGCTCGATCGCAAAGGATGATCGTCGCGAAGGCGAAATTGCACGCGATCGTTTAGCCCTCCAGAGAGTGCTGCCGCTTTTCTTCATTCCTTATTTTCCGCCGGGTGAGCTAAGTATCGATTGGCGGAAGCGAGGAGCGATAAAAATCTCTG